GGGCAGGACTTCAATGCCAAGTTGTCTGACTTCGGTCTTGCTAGAGATGGGCCACCTGATGATAGGACTCATGTGACCACTATAATTATGGGTACACAAGGCTACGCTGCACCGGAATACATTGCTACAGGTTTGGCTCGACAAAAAAAATACTTCTTCTCAATTCCTATTGCACTTCAAAATCAAATTATCAATAATGAAGCAAATATTGATCTCCTTGCTGAAAAACAGGCCATTTGACGGAAAAGTGTGATGTATATGGCTTTGGGATTGTTCTGCTGGAATTACTATCTGGCCGTCGGGTTATTGATAGATCTACCAGTAAAGAACAATTCCTGGTGGATTGGGCAAGACCATATTTGTCCGAGGAGAAAGAAGTGTATCGAGTAGTGGACACCAAATTGAAGGGCCAGTACCCTCTGGAAGGAGCAGTTATTGTTTCAAATCTTGTTTTGCAGTGCATAAGTAGTAATCCCAAAAGCAGGCCACGTATGTCGGAGGTTTTAGCCACATTGGAACAACTCTGAGGTTCACATGAAACAAAAAATCAAGATTCTTCTAAATCTGCTGTCAATAATGAAGACATCGTCAAAATCTGAATATGACACCTTTGGAGTCTCTGAATATTGCATGGAAAGTGTGTATGGTGTAACACAAATAAGTTGGATTTAGTTATTGGCAAAATCTTCTCTTATTATTTCTAGCGCGTGCCTTCCTCAATTATGTTACAAATTTTCGGTGTTAGTTTGTCGTATATCTATTAACTCCAACCACATATTTGATAAGTTGAATCGGACATGACTAACATACATATGGGATTTTTGTGTATCCTCTACTTGTTGTGGCCTGTCTATCTATTATGTCGTGCTACACATGCCTTCGAATTTTTTGACAGGCAAACTTAGCCATTATCAAGATTGAAATACACCTTAATTAAATGCCTTAAATATGAAGAATCCATGTATCAACCGCATTATCATCTCTACACTTTTATACTAATTCCCGGATTTACTATGCGCTCTAAACCTAAAACCCATCTCTCAACTTGTAATAAATTCACAAAATCTTTGAATTATTGGCCAAGTAATTCAAAGTATTAAGATTCATAATTAAAATCAACACA